TGGGGGGGTGGGGGTTTAGGGTTTCGGGGTAAAGGCTGGGTCCTTGGATTTGAGACTGGGTGTTGGCTTTCGGAGTTCACGGCTTGCGGGTCACGCTTAGGATGGAACTTGCAGGTTTAGGCGCTGAATTAAGCTGATGGTCACATTAAGGGCTATCATAAGGGTTGCTATAAAGGGCTACTAGACGGTGTTATTATGTACTTTCAGCTTTGGCGAAGGAAGTAGGGCTTAGAGCAGGGGATTATGCTTTCCAGCTGAGTCTTTGTGATCGAGTTCGAAGCTGCCGCAGCGCGTATGAGACCTAGGGTCGGGTGTCTTTAGAAGGGTGTCATACAGGGTAGTATAGGGCCGCACAGGGTGTCCTTGCTGGGTTTTGGGGTCGGTGCCTGAAAGTTGGAGGGCCTGGGCTTAAGAGGACCTAGAGACTCGAACCATGCAGCGCGAAGATCAGCCCCAAACCTTCAAGCCAGCCCTTCAACTCCTGGATCACGAACCCCCAACTCTAAAGTTGGCCAACTCTTCACCCCAATTCCAACTTCCAGATCAAAAAACTTCCCGACCTCCGACGGTCGAGGATCCCCATGAGTCTCTAAACTTGGGATTCTGTTGCTTTTGGGCTTGCGGATCAGGGCGCAGGTGGCAAACAAAAGATCTGGGAATACCTTACCATGTACCCAAGGGATGAGGAACAAAACCAATGGTTTAGTAGATCTTCGACTGGATAAAGTTTCCTATCCGAAACCCCAGACCTAGACCCCAAGCCCAAAGACCTGCACCAAACCCCAAAACAACCGAATTCCAAGCCCGGAGCTGCTGCGAACCTACCACCACCACACACCGCACAGAGAAAAGAACGTGGAACACTGGGCCAACCCGGCAAAAACGCTCCATAAGCACTTCCATAAACAAAGGCTGCTAAGGTAGGGGTCTTGATAATTAGAGTAGGGTTTTGGGGCCCACTGTTATAATAAGGACCCCCCAAAAAATAGTATAGGTAACTATGAAGCCCCCTATACTATTGCATGTCCAGGGACTTAAATGCAGCCCATGAGAAGGCTACGATGCAAGCAATGTTGGACAAGTAGAGATACACCGAGAACTCGCCGATCCTTGGGGGTTTTAGGGTTTGAAGGATGTTGGTGGCTAAGGTTTAGGCTTAGGGGCTGAGGGTTCCAGGATTTGGGTTTAGATTTTAGGGCCGATTCTCTCTGCTATCTGGGGCCTTGGCTCCAGGACACCTAGCAAGTCGATCTCAAGGATCCAGGCTTAGGGGTTCAGGCTGTATGTCTCGGGTTCCAGGATCAGAGCCATTGAGACTCAAGGTTGATGACTTACTTGCACAGTTTCCTCAGGCATGTTGAAGATTGGTTGGCCCCGGCTAGAGGGGTCTTAGCATAGTCCAAGTCTCAACCGTTTTCAGTGTCCATCATCTCATACGGTTCCTTCTTGATTCTGCTTGAAAAATGCAAGCAGCATGCTCGTGTCAACAAGATGCTGCAGCACTTAGTTCGCAATAACGGCTTTGCCTCTCAATGAGGTGATACAGGGGGCTTGGTCGATGTTGCCGGCGCTGCACATGACTGGGTTCGAGGTGCGCGTCTCTGGGATGTGTTGGTGACTCAGTTTCGTGTGCGTCCAAACTTGATTTGCCACACAGCCCGTGCTAAACCGGACTCTCTATGTGGAAGACCCGCAACAGCAGCGAGTATTATGAGTGACTGGCGAGCATCTGGGCTCCCAACCACTGCTGCGCACGATGGGCGCATGGCCTTGTTGCACTTGGAAGCCATGCTTGTGGTCTTCCATTCGGAACCGACCATCAAGTTGAACAATCGTCTGTTGACGGAATGCTTGCATCGAGCGGAGAATGCTAACGTGTCTGAATCGAGCTCGCAATTGCGACGCTGCATGTCTGCGCTGGTGAAGGTAGCGCATGATCTGCTGTCGGACAAGCGCCAAGTGCGATTGCACCAGCTGCTCATCTCCGGGAGTGCGCAGCGCAGCATCATGACGGGTTAGTATCTCCAAAAGAGCACCTGTGAGATGGAGAGCTTGGAAGTTCTGCATATCCAGGATCACCGTGCTGTCTTGAGTCTTGGGAAACGGGCTGCGATCTGAGTGTGCTGCCACGGAGCTTGCAAAACCCACCGGTAAATCTTTGAACGGGTTGGGTCGAATGCGATTTGGGAACTTCGGGCTTTTCGGCTTGGGATCAGCAGGGTTTAAGCAGGTGGTGTTGCAGGAGATCGCGTAGCTTTACTCATGACTTCCAGCATGTCGTGCCATCGTTCCGCTGTGCTTCACAGAAACCGTCCTGCTTCTGGTATCCACGTTTGATAGACACCTAACGGACTAGCAATCAATACAGTTCAGGGTTAGGGGTTTAGGGTTATACTTGCCTCTGCTCTCACTCTGCTCCCGGCCGTCTCAGCCCACACGATCCGGCACGGCCATCCGGCGACGCTGCAAAGGGCGCGGCGGAAGCGCGTCCTCTCCTCGGCCTGCGTCTGCAGCCTGGCGCGGAGGTGGAATGCGGCCAGCCCGCAGGCAAGACACGCTGACCCTTTCACGCCAAATTGCCACCATGCTCTCGGAAAGGCCAGCAGCGGCGGCGAGATTACACATGTCCGCATCCGAACCGCCGCCCTCCAAAAGCTCGCGGATACGCCGACAAATATCGGACTCCTCAGCGTCGATGCGGCGGTCGAGGTCCCGGCAAGCTCGCAAACACTCGGGCGTGCCCGCACGCATGGCCACGAGGTAGTAGATATTACGCAAATTGTTCAGAGCGAGCTGATCCGCGCCTCCCGTCAGCCGCAGTGTGTTGAAGATCGCCTCGTCCGTGTACGGGTCGATGGCGACAGTGGGCGCAGCTGCCGCGCCGGCAGCTGAAGGGTCCGAGGCTTGCGAAGACTTTGGCACGGTCGTGGGGAGCTCGCCGGTAGATGCAGCCACTCGATCCACAGGCGGCAGCCTCGGTAACAGCCAGCAGCAATCCGAAGCCTTGTGTTTGTAGCGGTCACCACGAAGCCAAAAGCAAAACGCACAAGTGACATGCACAACTGAACAGATGGCCAGCCGAAGCGCAAACCGGCAGGAGGCTGCAAAGGAACTGGCACCGCGTTTGGTCTCGGGCGGCTGCTGCGGTTCAAGCAACGTCTGTGTCCTACGAGATGCAAAAAGGCAGGGCATCCTCTCCTACAGTGGCGCAGATACTCCATGCAGCTCCGAGCTGGCATTGAAAAACCTCTTCGTCCACCGGTGGCGGCATCTTCTTGAATACTTCCTTGCTGAGTTTGAATGCGAGATCTTTGGGCATAGCCAAAATACCGGTGTCTGCACCGGACTTCTGCACACACGCAGCCAATGAACGCAAAAACAGTGATTGCGCGTTGCTGAATGGCCGCACCAGCAACGCTGCTGTCGACTTGTTTCGCAGCAAGTGCTCTTGAAAAAAGCACTCCAACAGCTGTTCGCGAGTCGTGCATGATTTTAGTTGCGCTCGCCACTTGGAGACCTTGGGATTTCGCGGTGAGACCACACCACTGGCACTATCAATGCTGGTGGGAGTGGATAGAAAATTCTCCTGATCGACTAAGCCAGTGCCTTGAGCAAAACTGTTCTTGGGTCTCACCAGTGAGCGATGTATCGCAGCTTGCAGCCCGCCATGGCTTTCGGCTCCGGCACGTGCTGCGGATAGGCAGTGCTGCTACAAAGAACACTAAGTCTGCAGGGCATCAGATGCACAATTGAGCCCCGCCCTTCTCTCTCATACTAACCTAAACCGCAACATGGGGGCCTTAATAATTTGAGCACGGTCGTGGGGGATTTCAACACTTAACGTTAATAGGAGCCCACTTAAAGGGTCGTGTCGGGGCGGTTGAGGAGTCGAGGGACTTTGTAAGTAGGTTATTACCTAAGTTTGGTTGGGGTTCCTCTTGGTTGCAACCTGCTCATAGCATAACATTCTCATAACCTACTTAGAAGTCCCGCCATCCATCAAATAGGGTCCAGGAGGGTTGAGAATACAGAGTTTAGCGTTCAGGGAGCAAGTTCCTTAGGGTCTTTTAAAGGTAGGAGACAGGGCAAACTAATGTGAACAGGTTTCTTCGGGCAGACTTCCATCCACGGAGGAAGCAAGGAAGTGGCAGAATGCCCGCTTTTGCTGAGGTGTCTTGGGTGTCCAGGGTAAAGAATGTACAAGCCCTCCCAAACCTGAACCCTAAACCCTAAACCCTAAACCCTTCTAGCCCGACTCTTTGCGCCAGATATTTCAATAGCCAACTCAAAGACTGCAATATGGGAGTTTCCGAAACTACGGGGGTACCTTATTTTCGGGTCCTTATAATAAGGATCCTACTATACTAGGGTTCCCTATTTTCGGAAACCCCCAAACCCCTTGATAGAGGAAGATTCTTCACGTCTATAGCAGGGAGCCCGAATAGGGAGCACCTTGATCAGTTGAGGCATCTGGAACTCTTTAACAACAGCTGGGAAGGCGGAAAAGCTCTTCAGCTTCGGTTCTAGGGGATGTGTCTGAGCGGAAACCGAAGAAGGCCTGAGAGTCGGATTGCTGGGTTTGGGAAAAATTTATAATTCTCAATCGAAAATATAGGAAAATTCCAGATCATAATTTTTATCAAACAACATTGATTCTGAGGGCTTCGGGGATGGAGGGATCGGGGGGGTGGGGCTAGTTTCAGGGGTCTAGGCTAGTAGGGTTGAGGGTTTGCTTCCGACACCGTGACGAAGACGACGGTGACTGCTACCATCTGTATCTCCACAAGGTGCGGTCGTCCAAAAAAACAAAGCACGAGCCAGAAGCCCGCAGTACTAAGTAAAACCGGAAACGGCTTCAGGGGTAGGGGTCTATAAGCTTTGTAAACGGTTCATAGGGTTTAATGGCTTAAATAATGGCTCTTGGTGGTTAAGGTTTAGGGGGAACCCTCTATGAGTTCATGCCCCAAGCCCAAGCTCCCCTGCTTCAATCGGCAAGTGGCTCGCTGAGGAAGTAGCCTCCTTTGTTGTGGAGCTTGGGGAAACTCGTCTGCAGAGTCCACCTCAGATCCGAAAAAGCTTCCTGCAGTAAGTCCAACGGCAAGGCTGCCTCGTTACGGGCATTCAACAACGGTCTGGTTCTCAACCCGAGCTACAAGTACCACCCTTCAGCGTGACTTAAGTCCTGCAGGGCCATATATAACGGTTTGAGGTCATCGTTTAGGGTCCTCTCAACCCCAACCCCTCCGAAGTCTGCCACCATGCCGCATCATCCCAGCATTCACCAGGGGAGGCAGCAAGGAGGTGGAGATGCAAACGCCGATCAGCGCGCTGGAAATCCCACTGCCCTGACCTGAAACCAAGGTTTCTGACTGAAGGTTCCGGGTTTGGGGTCGAGGGTTGCGAGTTGACGCACAAGTAAAGTTGGTCGGGTCTAGGGTTTGGGGTCGGGGCTTCAGGGCGCCTATGTAGCTAGGGTCTTGCACGTTTGGAAGCGGTCCTTCTTTCATTCGACATGCCGTACAAGTACCAGCTGGGGTTTGTTCTAGATAGGGCCACCACGCCGCCAAGACTTGCCAGAACTGGTGACCAATAGGTCCACTCTGATGTGAAGTTTAGGGCCTGGTGGGTATACAATCCCCAAGACTATCCGATTTCTGCTTGAGCCCTGAACGCACGAAAAGCGCGCAGCAGGGCTCTAAGCGCAGGATCTCACTAGCTACATTTACGTTATTGAGTCTCCGAAGAGTCTTAAGCATTGATCACCTTGGTAGCTAAGCACTTACGGGGGGGGGTCCAGGCAGTCACAAGGGAGCCTCCACAAATACTCAAAGGATCATGGGATGTAGTAACTAGAGCTATACATAAGGTATCTAACATCATGACTGATAAGCCGGACTATGAAGTACGTATAACCTTGCTTACCAAGTCCCATGACCCTCCAAGCACCAACTCAAGACCTGATTCCAATCATGCAGGCTCCTGTATTGCTGCTGTAGCGGTCGTTGGTTTGAGGCGCCTCAACGCCTTCATCCGTTGCTGGCGTACTGATATCACTTGGCCTGAAGAAATATAGCCTCATACATGTCGATCCGGTTACATAACCAACATAGACCTCGCTCTGTTTGTTGAGATCCTTACCAACTCCGAACCCCCTGAACCGAAGATCAGCCGCACCCGCGAGCCCAACTTGCCGCCTAATGCCACCGCCATTCCGGAAAGGGCAGCTACGATGGCAGACATGAGCACGTTGCCTTTCACAACAAAGAAAGGCTGAGCGAGTGAAGTTCTGGGGTCTGGGTTGGCGCGGTTGACACCCAGAGACTTCAGTAGACAGGTTGTCGTTTGTTTCAGTGTTTTATTTGTCTCGGCAAGGCAATTATACTCCGTGTTTCGAGATTCTGAGCATTTTGAGGTGAGCATGAGGGTATTTCCCTAAATTAGGGTCCCTTTTAGGGTCCTTTTTGAAGGGTGCCGTGCAATGTATTGGACCCCATAAGGATTCTAGTTTAGAGAAATAGCCGATGCAACACAGTAAAACCACTTCATACGCCATACCCAACGCTATGCGACCCCACAAAGCGAAGCAAAAGAAACGACTCCGCAACGCCCCGCGTTTCCCATTGCGAACCACGCGGCCTGCGGGGGGGCCTCGCGACGTAATCTGAAGAGTGTTGATGGAGATGAACGATGTGGAGCCTTTGCGGGGAGGAGGGCTCCTGTTAAGATTGGAGATTTCTAACCCCAAGACACAGCCTGGACCGTAGGATGTGTGGAAAAAAAGTGTATCTCGCAGGCTACATCTACCATCATCTACCATTTATTCTGGCTCCTCTTGCTACTGTTGATATTCTTGTTCCTATCCTTACTCTCATTAGTACCTGTTACTTCTATTCTTCGTCTTAACCCTAAACCCTAAACCCTAAACCCTAAACCCTAAACCTCTTTCCTCTACCTGCTACTGGGGCTCGCTGGTCTGGAGCAGCGACAGGGAGCAGTTCGTGCACGAAGGTCTCGCAGAGTTAGGGCTATACTGAACTTAGACCCCTAGGCAAAAACTATAATTCTAGCTGCTTCTTAGGCTTTAGAGTAGCCAAAGATTAAACATTATTTCTAAGTGCCCCTAAGCTGGGAGGCTTAGAAGCGGAGCAGGCGGGGTTAGTTTGGCAAAGTTTAGCGCGGAAGGCGGAGGGTTTTGGCATGCGGGATAACAGGGTGAACACGAACCCCCCCCCCTTCTGGGCTGTAGTGTTTCTAGAGTTTATTTGCGCCTCAAGGGAATTGCGCCCCGGACCTCGGCCCTTTTAAGTTGACCAGTCTTTGCTGCGCCACAGAACCACGCCCATCGCTACAACATAAGTTCGGAGGCCAGCTGTCGCATGCCGACATCCACAGCAAACCCTAGTAATGATTTCAATCCAAAAGCTGAACCGCAAACCGCAACCTGCGCCGTAGAGATCAGCTGCAAATCCTACCTCCGCCCTAGCTCAGGATCCCAACCAACAGGCCTGAACCCAGGAGGCTCTATAAGACCTCATCAAAGACTCATGACAACGTACCACACCCTCATAGACTGCCCTGCACCTCGACAACTCTCGTAAGCTTCCCCTCGCAACCTAAACTCTAAGATGAAGTGCCGGGGTGACCTCGGAAATCTCCAATGGGCGATATCAGGTCTTTCTCCCCGCAAAAGACCCCGAGTATCCTGGGCGGTGGCTTCATTGGCTCCAGGAGCTTTTGGTATTGCTCTGTAACACCGGTGCTACACGCAAAACCCACAGCAGATTGGAGCCGATTGGCCTTGGGGCTTTGCGGGCTGATCCATTGAAACTTCTGGATCCTGACAGAAGCTTCAAACGCATTATTTTCCTTCAGGGGCTGTGGCTTCGCCATACAAAAACACATGCAAAACACATGAACAAAAGCCCCTCAGACCGTCCAAACTTGAAGCTCCAAGCTCCGAATCTCACAGCCGAGAACCCTCCTATAAGGGCCTTAGGGTTTTAGGGTTATATTATACTATAACTATCATAAGGAACCCCCGAAGTAGTATTGGTAGTTATCTAGACCCATTATATTACCGCCCTGAACCCTCATGACATGGAGATTTTGGAAGACCGGGAAAGCTGGAAACCCTTGCGAAAGCCGGAAACCTCCTAGAGCTTTAGGTTAGACTTTAGGGTTTGAACGCTGAAATTTGACCCCCAAATGCAAAAGGCCTCTAATCCCTAAATTTCCGACTCTCCCTCTCTCGAGCCAAGGAGCAACCCGAAAATCGCACCCAAGGCTAGGCATATCATGGCCTGCAGCCACAGCTTCGGGATTGAGCCTTTAAGCTTCCTGGTTTGATGTCTGGAACTGCGGGATGTAGGCCGTAAAGGTCAATCAAGATTACGGCTTCTCAAACTTGGCTCTTGCCTTCTGAAGCCCTTTACAAGCAGTCGTAAGACGGATGGTAGAGGCTGACCAACTACGGGTTAGAATAAGGTGCAAGGACCCCATCTTCAAGTTCACAACCCGTTCTTTCGGAGTCTCAGGAAGGCAACAAGCAAAAAGTCTCAGAGAAGCAACGCCCCAAACGCCAAGCACCGAACCCCACAACTTCTGAATTTCCGGCACGAGATTTCTGACACAGAAGCCTGTGAGGCTCCACATAAAGATTTCGCACGAAAACCCCGAAGTCCCATCCCGAAATCCCCTAAACTCTAATTACAACGCATGGTACTTCACCAAAACCTCAGACGGTTTCGAGTGTAAGGGGGTGCTTGGAGGAATGCTCTACCTCGACCACCAAAACCGACTTTGTTCGTAGAGGGTCGATCGATTTCATAGTAGGGTTGACAGTAAGAACCTACAAAAGAGTATGTCATTGTAGTTTAAGCAATGGGGGGAATGGATCCCTATGATAATCCTTCAGGGCCCCCTATGACCCGTTCCATGAACCCATTGCCATTCCCTACAAAGAACCAAGGAGACTAAGCCAAGATGCACCAATGAACATGTTCCGAACGCCGCGCCAGGCCAGAGCTAGGTCTTGCACGGTGAGGCCCCACACCGTTGCCTTTGATGAACTCTCTACTACAGAGGCCTTAAATGATTAGAACAAAGTCTTGGGTGGGGTAGAAATTTAATATACCCTTGTACCATACTGATGCAGGGACGAGAAGGATATACTGATATGCTGCTACCCATCGCCAACTATTCCTGGCATGCAGTCTTGTCTTGGGGTTATGGGACCCGGAAAACCCTAAATCCTTCGGCTGGGCTTCTGTTTGGGCAAGTGGGGGTTTTCCCCTACACCCGAAACCCTACTCTACTCAGACTTTTGGGATGACCTGTCCCTGGCCTGGGCCCAGCTCGATAAACCTGGGAGTGTCAGAGAACAGCCTCAACCCTAACTCCTGAACCCCTAAACCCTAAACCCCTAAACCCCTAAACCCTAGACCCCTCGACCCAAAACCCCTAACCAGGGGATCCGCATAAATAGGATCCAACATATCTTGCGCTCTGTAGCCAAGGCGCCAGGACCATCTGCATTAAGGGCGACACGAAGAACGCCGCCAGAACGAAAACGCTACCTCGGGACAACAAAGGAGCAGGGTTCAGGGCGTAGGACTTACGACTTGGCATGGAGGGTTTAAGGCTTTGTGCTTTATCCTGCATGGAACCTCAAAAGGAGCATGACAAACTGCTTGGGGCTGTAGGTGGTTGACTAAGCAAGGTATGTTTGGAGAAGAAGGTTTCGGGGTGAGGGATTTGGCGAACCTGAAGAAACCTCCACGCCCAAACCTCGAGCCAAAATCTCCCACCCCCCAAAGTCCAAAAAACCCAAGCCCTGATGTCCCGACCCCGAATACCACTCGAACCGGTTCTCGCCAAGATGCTATCTGTGATCAAGCCGATTGCCGCCATTCCGGAGGCCTTGTGGCCGTGTTCTGCGTCAGGATTCGGTTTAGGCCTGTGCACTTGGTGCCCCACTTCTGCTTCGCTTGTGGGATTGGCAAGGCCCTTCTGCGAACTTGTGACGCGATGCCGTCTGCTGTGCGAAAACTGGCCCTGCAAGCCCCTTGCCTCCTGTCCCAATAGCAAGAGTGGGGCTTGAAGGTATATGCCACCGAAGTACCCAGGATAGCTGCCGTAGAGTTTCCGTGTTGCATATCAAGTTGTAGAGTCTTTGAATCAAACATCCCCAGCCCTACAGCCTAAACCCTAAACCCCTAAAGCCCCAAAACCCTAAACCCTACATAATCCCCTTGGGCCTGGTTGCTGTCACCTCCAACACCATCAACTCGCTACAGGCACCACAAAGACAAGCTAATGTAGGGGCCTGCAAAATTGGAATGGTGTTTACGCGGTATAGTCTCATGTGCTAAAATTAAGAAACCCTAGGAAAAAGTAGTACCAACTATTCATATCGCCACCCTCCGACAGACTGCGCCAAGCTGCAATGGTGATGCACGCCAGGTGGTTGAAGCTAAGGTAGCTGTTTGCCACGATCACGGAGTGGATCTCCAGTGTGGACCTTCGCCGCAGGCACCCCTACCCCCAGATACCGGGGCCTGCCGAGGGCACCCTCACAGTCGGAGCACTTGAACCCCCGCTCAGCAGCGCAAAGCTTCGGGGTTTCGGGTTTTGGGTGCAACACGCGCAGACCCAAATCACCCAAACCCTGACAGCCGTAGCCCTGACCCAACACACTCAATTGCGAACTTTCAACCGGTGAAATCCGAAACGGAAAGTCAGAAATCCCAGTGCTTCATACCTCCAAGGCTAAGCTAAAGTCGTACAGGACCATCTCGGCCAATACTGTTGATGGTCAAAATCCTGCATTACCTTATATACCTAAACTATGGGATTTATGGTGCATCATGCAGAATTTTGTCCATCAGCCGTATGAATGTTGAAGCCCAGGGCATCTGAAGCTGTGAGGTCGAGCGGCATGCGGTCCAAAGTCGTGCTGTTGAATTCCTTCCACCTGTGGATGCGTACAGGGCTCTCAGGGCCCTAAACCCTAGTCCTCAAAAGCCAAAAACCCTGAAACCCTATAATTTGTCTAGGTTCGTCAACCCTACTAACCCCCTCAACCCCTCAACACCAAACCCTAGTCCTTGAACCCCAAAAACCCCAAAACCCTATAACCTTTTAGAGGGTCTTTTAAAACACAGCGAAGCTGAAGGCTTCAGGGGTTCACATCCGGTGATCGTTGCTAACGACTGCAAGCTTCGGGCTCGGGAGCCTGGCGGAGCTTAACATGGAGCCGTAATACTTAGAATAGGGTTGTGGGGTATATTATGGTATTATAAGTATAATAAGGGGTCCTACCATTAAGAGAAGCTTCTAGGAACTGGTGGGTTCAGGGGTTTGGGGAGGGTTTAGGGTTTAGGGTTTGGGGCGTAGGGCTTCGGGGTTAAGTTCAAGTTGGGGGAGGAGGAGGGGGACAGGGCGCCTAGTTTCTGATGTAGATCGAACTTTTGCAAACTACGCGAGGAGTCGGAGGTTCCAACGAACTGAAAACGGCAGCGTGCTGTGTCAGGCCTGTTTGGGGAGATCCTAATGTAGGAACCTGATTACGAAACCCTGGCTCTTTATTGGGGTTCTTAATGTGAACCCTCAAAAAATTGGGGGTTATAGAGCCCGGGTTTCTTAATCAGGTTCCTACATAACCCTAAACCCTAAACCCTAAACCCTAAATCCTAAACCCTAAACCCTAAACCCCATAAACCCTAAACCCTAAAGTCGCTCCCTTGACTTCTGTTGCTCTCCCCGCGCCAGCGCGCCCAACTATTGGCGCGACAAACCGAAACCCAAGGATCCTGTCAAAGTTAGGCTTACTTAAAGGATCATGGGACTTAGTAAGTAGGGTTATAATCAAGGTAACCATACTTATATTTACTCATAACCCCAATTAAGGGACTTATAACCTTACTTACTAAGTCTCATGACTTTGTTTAGGGCCTGTTTAGGGTCCAGGGGTTTGGGGCCCGTAGTTTTAAGGGCTTAAGGCCAAAACCCTAAACACCTGGTTTCGGGACCTAAATGGGTGGTTGTCAAAATTAGGGTCCCTTTTTGGGGTACCCTAAATAATAGGTGCCGTACTATAATAAGGACCCAAAAAGGGACCATAATTTTGACAACCACCCAAATAGCTACCCATACAGGGGTTCCCTATTGCAAGTATAGTATACTGTACCCCAAAGCCCTATTCAAACCAGAAAGGCCTCGACATTGCAGTTTTAATGTAGGGGCCTTAGTACTCAGAATAAGGTTTTGTGGGTTCCTTATTATGATTATAGTATAATATATCCCAACACCCTCTTCTAATTATTAAGGCCCCTATATTCAGGAATCCTTCCCTCCGGCCTCTGGCAACACCCCCGCCAGCAGCTCGAGGCAAAGGGCTCCGGCTGTGGCATCGGGGGCGGTGCGGTGGTGCAGCGCACCTGGTTTCGGGTTTGGGAGTTTAGGGCCTACAGGGACCCTAAACCCTAAACCCTAAATAACTCTAAATAACCCTGAATAACCCTAAACCCGAACCTTTTGGGGTTTTTTAAGGTTCAAGGCGGTAGAGCGTCAGAGGGAGCTTCGGACTGCTGGGATTCCTGACTAAGCTGTTGAGGCTTCTGAAACCAAACCCTAAACCCTAGGCAGTCCAGGGTTTACTAAACCCTAAACCCTAAAGCTTAAATCCCTAAACCCTAAATCCCTAATCCCTAAACCCTAAACTCCCAAACCCTAAATCCCTAAACCCTAAACCCCTAAACCCCTAAACCCTTTAACCCTAAACTC